TGGCTTAAAAAATTTAAGAAAAATGAAAAAAGAGATTGAAAGTTTATTCTTGATCTTTGAGGAAGTATTTGAGCAGAGCAATCTCACCATAAGGTCCATTTGGACAAAAAAGAAAAAAAAATTACTCAAAATGAAAGTAAAAAAGACAAATTCAAACATTTACAATTTGAGAATTTGAGAACTACAGGTGCTTACCTGTAGTTCTCAAACTGAACTACAGGTAAGCAAACTGTGTCCACTGAGGAAGAACAGCTACTAAATTGACTAGACTGAGGTTGTTTTGTCAACTACTATTGGGACCTGTAAACCTACATTTCTAGGTAATTTTGACCTGCAGACCAATGCTCACTTCTGTTTTTTACTTTTATTTTAAAGTTCTAACTCAGTCCTGTGTGTCACTACTGCTGTGTGTTGCAGACAGGTCGTGTGGATAAGAACTACCCCCTGGTGATTGGCCACTCCGGACCTGTCCTCGATATCGACTGGTGCCCTCATGACGACAACATCCTGGCCAGCTGCTCGGAGGACTGTACTGCAATGGTAATGGCACTGTGTGTATGTGTGTGTGTGTGTGTGGAAAAATCTAAGAAAGAAAGAGTGGGTGAGAGAAGTTGCAAATGCATGTGGAGTATGTTGTTGTTCGATGACTCAGATAACAGCCATGGAGGTCGTCACGGCCTTGGTTCGTCACATCTGCCTGCCCATTAAATGACTGAAATGAATCAGTCTAGGCATCATTGTTTCTACCTGTCTGACTGTCTGACTGTCCACCCACCTGCTCCGCTTGCATCTCGATCTCTTCATCAGTCTGCTTGTCATATTTTTCCCCATGACAAGTTGGTCGGATTCTGATGTTTATCTGCAACCAACCTCGATATTGTAACACAGCTTCTAATCCTGCTGCTCCAATCTGTTCCTGTTTGTGTCTTTGTGTGTGTGTGTGTGTGTGTATAAATCTCAGGTTGAGGATAAAAGCGGGGAGTTAGTGTTTTGATATGTATTCACCTTCCTTTAATCAGACTAAAAAACATCTCAGGAAATCCTGGAGGCTAAGTGTGCAGGATATGTACACACAGGATGTGGAGAACAGTTCAAATAATCAGTCTGTGGTGATTATGTTCCAGTCTATAATTATCCTCAGTGGCTTTAACTTGGAAGTGAATATTTAAAATCTTAATACATGCACTCATTGCAGAATAGGTAGGGGAAGTGTAAATATACTTTAAAGTAGTTACATCTTAAATGTTGTTGTTGAGTGTTGGAGTGAAGTAAGACAACAGAAGCTTTAGTAATTCTTTGTGATACACTGCAGGTATCTGTGGCCCTGAGCTTCATTACTGAGTTTATTCAACAACTTCAGGAGATGAACAAAGTTAAATTTAAAGAGACGGCTCGTTTCAGACAGAGGATGAACTGAGGAGCTGCCTTTAAGATAAATAGGAGTTGGAAGTGAAGTCTCAGTCTTAGAATATAGAGCTTGGAAATCTGAGATATTCTATTATTATTATTATAATACAATTAACTTCTACTATAATTTATGACGCTGAATGATGCCCTTATGGCATCTAAACGCTTTATAGAATTTATTATTGGAGAAATTTTCAGTAGAAATTATAGTGATGAGTTATGACATGAGGCAATGAGAACCAGTTCTAGTGTCTGGGATGTAACTGAGCGATGAGCTGCTCCACTGACACAAATAAGGACACATGCGTCACATAACTGTGACAACTCCATCTATATTATCTATATTTGGGCTGCTACTAACAATTATTGTCTTGTTGTCTAGATTTATCGATGAGTTGTTCGGTCAATAAAATGTCTGAACAGGACAAAAAATGTTAATCACAGTTTCCCAGAGCCCATATGACATCCTCAAATGTCTTGTTTCATCTGATGAACAGTCCAAAGGAGGAGCGTGAACAAGCACATTTATGGCATTTTTGCTTTAAAAATGACGATTAAATATAAATAGTTACAAATAAGTTTTGTGTCAATAGACTAATTAATCAACTACAGCAATCTTTTAGCTCTAATCATGACACTTTTTATTCTTTGCAATGGTTCTTTGTAATTAGGAAATAAAGTTGTACTTGTTTATATAAAAATAATGTAAACAATATGTAATATTTTATGATAACATTTTAACTTCTCATTAGTTACTCTATTGTGTGTATGTACACAAATATGCAGTATGTCGAGTGTGTCAGCATGTGTCATTAAAAACATTTTTTTGTTTATATGCTGACAACGTGCCAGTTGACTCAGCATGTATCTGTGCATCAGTTGTCACAATTGCCCGCACTTGTTCACAACAACATTGCAGGAATCTTTGTGTGATCAAATGATTGAATGGCTGCTTCTCTGATGGCGGCAGCTGCTGGGATGCTGTTTGAGTGCTGTGTGTTTGCCTTTGTGAGTGTATGTGTGAGTGTGTGTGTGTGTGTGTGTGTGCTTTGTTTATGTCCAGCATGCAGACAGACAGTTGCAGCTGTCCAGTCTTGGCAGTATTGCCACTGTAGAGCGGAAACGCCATAACTGTGATGTCATTCTCTTTAGTTCACAGAGATGGATCATTGTGCCATCTTATAAGGCTCATTAGAATGTGTGTGTGTGCGTGTGTGTGTGTGTGTGTGTGTGTGTAGCAACAGGGGACAGACTAGTGTGTGTCTTCTCCATACATAATTAAAAATGGACGTGGTCTCTGTGACGTTGTTTCCGTTGCCATTTTGACTCCGCTGGCTCCTGGTTACTCCAAAAATGGGGAAAGACGCAGAGTGTGGGTGGGGCTAAACGAAGCCACTTGTCACTCAAAGCTGCCATTCCCTTTATTATGCATAACTTTTACGCCTTGATATAATTTAAACAGGAAACAGGAACTGAAGTTTTTGTCACATGCGTGTTGGTTTCATTTGCCAGAGGTTGCTGCTTGGTCATCTTGAGTTTATATGGGCTTATATTAACAAATCACCTACAGTGTGGTATAACTGAAAATGCCACATTTCAGCAATTTACTAACTCACATTAATAAAAAATGTGTTTTCCTGGGTCAGTTTTGTTTGTGTTTTTGTGGCTCCATCGTGTGCACTCCATGGTGGAATTCACATGAGGCATAAATTAGCACCTGTTCAGGTCAAGATATCATACTTTTAAAATATAGGGTTTTACATAAAAGTACTGTGATGGGTGAGCCCTGTAGATTCTTCCAATATGTGTAAATAAGACAAAAAAAATTAATAACTGGCATTAACTGTAAAATAATTTCAGGAAAGGCTTTAAAACAACATTTACACAAGCACAAAATAGAATTTAAATATTAACAAATAGATTAAATGTGCAACAAAAACACTTATTTACAGTTTTTTAGGTGATAGTCAAAGCTTTCTGAGGGGGGGCTGGATTGTGCAGGCAGAATTTCAACTCATGACAACTCTATTTCTTGTCATCTATATTCCTGTCTCACCGAGTGTAAACCCTAAACAGGCTAGAAAGTAAATGTATATATGGCTGTAAATCTGTTAAAATATTAACAATTTAAACATACACACTGAATGTAAAACTATGAATCCATGTTGTTTTAAAAGCAAAAGCCACTGTTTAGTTTAGTTAGCAGTCTATTGGAGTTGCACACGGGTGTGGAAATTAGTGGGTGGGTGTCATCGGTTGCCACCTTGACTATAAAGCAACAGAAAGGTCTCTCAGTGATAACAGTCACTGCCAGTAAATTTATGAACCAATTAGAGTGTTTACCAGAAGAATTAAAGATGAGGACCTAACACTAAGGAGGTAGAAACACAGTATTTAATTACAGTTATCTTCATTTGTTTAATTGTTCAATCAAATTAAAACAAGTTATAATTTATAATTTACCTTTCAGTCACAAACACCTCAACAAATCTTTAAGAGTCCTAAATAGGACTAATGGATTATATATTACGTTGGCTACTAATTTACAATCATGTACAGTACACTGATCACTGGACAGATGACACTTCTTGAGTAACATCAGACACAGTATTACATTTCCTTCATCCGTCCTCTCCAGGTGTGGCAGATCCCAGATCACTCACTAACCCGCCCCATTTCCGATCCTGTCGTGGTCCTGGAGGGACACTCTAAACGTGTCGGCATCGTCACCTGGCACCCCACCGCACGCAACATACTACTCACTGCGGGTAGGACACACATATGCACATACTTGTTTCATTTAAAGTCTTATAGTCTTTCGACCTTATGTAACCACGGTGTCTGTTGCTCTGACCCCAGGCAGTGATAACTTGGTTATAATCTGGAACGTGGGAACAGGCGAGCCCCTCATCTCCATGGATGACCACCCAGACCTCATCTACAGCATCAGCTGGAACCGAAATGGCAGCTTGTTTTGCACCACCTGTAAGGACCGACGTCTGCGTGTCTGCGACCCCCGCAAGAGGGAGGTGGTTGCGGTGAGTGAGTAGAAAATACTAATGCCTCACAGTATAACTCATTCTAATACAATAAAACCACTATGTGAGCTCTTTAACATCATTTTAGGTGTATATCGGGGCTCTGGTAGATCACCTGGAGGTTTGTTGATCTAAAGCAAAAATCTGTAGTATATCAGTGAAGTGCGACAGTGCCAGTGCAGCTTTTTACCACATATACAAATATAAATGGAAACCTGGAAGCAGAATGATTAGATTAGATTACTATTAGATGGAGGTATGTTTGATGTTCCAACAAGAAGTTTGGTTCAGTAGAAAATGATGAACAAGGAACTAGCTGTTGCAGTGACGTCTGTCCCTCCACTGGCCAACAGGAACGTCTGGCTCCACATGAAGGGATCCGGCCAATGAGAGCTATTTTCACCAGAGACGGAAACATTTTCACCACAGGATTCACCAGGATGAGCCAGAGAGAGCTGGGACTCTGGGACCCGGTAACAAAAAATTTAAAATTCATATGCTGTTCATGGATATCAAAAGGTACAGAAATATACATGCATTTATATGCATGTAAACAACAAAGGCTAGGCTTTCTAAATAATTTTTTACCCTCCACAGACAAACTTTGAGGAGCCTATTGCACTGTTGGAGCTGGACACAAGTAACGGAGTGTTGTTACCGTATTATGACGCAGACGCAAACATGGTTTACCTCTGTGGAAAGGTACGGAGATATTGGTTTATTGATTCAAATTATGTATTAAAATGTACTGTGTAATATGTACAGAAATGTGTTTCTAGCTTTAATGACAGTGTCACATTTGTTTTTGACATGTTTTATGTGTTTGTTTTCTGTGTTTGTTGTGTGTAGGGGGACAGCAGTATCCGCTACTTTGAGATCACGGAGGAGCCACCATACGTCCACTACCTCAACACCTTCAGCAGTAAGGAGCCCCAGAGAGGGATGGGCTTCATGCCCAAGAGAGGTGTGGATGTCACCAAATGTGAGATTGCTAGGTGAGAGACTGATCATGCAATTAGTTACAGCTTTGCAGCAATGTTTCATGGAATGTGAAGGCTACAGATGTTGCTTGAGGGTGGCTATGAAGCTCAAATCCAGTTTTGAGCGATATATCATGATGTTACATGCACCAAGATTGATGGTGAGGTTTGGTTATTATCTTATCTTCTCAAGAGCCATCCCTTTTTTGTTTTTTTGTTTTAGGTTTAAGGGATTTGTCAGTATCACCTTTCAGAGTAAAGGTTAATGACATTTCTAAATATGTACTAGTTATTGCTAGTCCATCATTGAAGATACAATCCATTCGTTGTCTATCAAGCACAAATAAATAAGCTTTATTTATTTAGCACCTCTCATAATATAGAAATGTCAATGCTCAAAATAGTTCAGAAGAGTAACAAATCGATGACAGGAGACATAAGCAATGATAAAAGCCAGATTAAAAGAAAGAGAGAAAAAATAAATAAAAAGGCTAATATTAGTAATGATAATAAGTTCATAATGCTAAAAACAGTCTTATATAAAAACCATCAAACAAGTATGAAAAAAAGAGGTGGAATTAATTAAAACCAAGATCATAAAAATAAGTTTTGAGCTGATTTTTTTTTTTTTTTAAACAGAAGTTGCTCCTCATATTTGTGATGGTAGTTTGTTCCAACCTTTGGCTCATAACAACAAAAAGCTGCTTCACCATATTTTTTGTAAGTCATTTTTGGTACATTTTAGCAAACCAGCGCTAAAAAAACCTAAAGGAACAAATGACTAGATCTGAATAATTATCCATCATGTAACTCTGACAATAATCTCAGAGTGCATGAGATAGGTCATATTATGCTTGATGCTGATACATGTGTAACAAAAGCACAACTGACGGGTGTCATCTCTCCTCGGTCTCATCTCTTCCCTGGTCCTCTCAGGTTATTCAAGCTTCTTGACAAGAAGTGTGAGCCCATCACAATGACAGTGCCCAGAAAAGTAAGTCCAACTGACCCACTGATCATACAAGTTCATTGACTTTTCACTGACATTCATTGATACATTTCAGAGGGAAATATCACTCCACTACATTTTTTTTACCCAAAAGCAATTGTTACTTGATACTTTTGAGATTTATATTTTTACAAAACATAAACACACAAACATATTCAGTTTACAAATTATTATTACTACAACATTAAAGTACTGTCCATGTCAATGCATCAGTAATAATCAGTTAACGATACTAATGCAAAACTGACCATTTTGCATAATGAGTACTTTTACTTTTGATACTTTAAGTACATTTTGATGCCAGTACCTTTAGTTGATTATAAATAATTTTGATTAACTCTGCAAAAACAAGCCACATCTGTCTCCTTTTCGCCAACTCTCTTGCACAGTCGGACCTCTTCCAGGATGACCTGTACCCGGACACAGCTGGGCCTGAGCCCGCCATGGAGGCTGAGGAGTGGCTGGATGGACGTGACGAAGACCCAATTCTGGTGTCCATGAGGGAGGGCTATGTGCCGCCTAAGAGCCGAGAGCTGAAAGTGGCAAAGAAGAACGTGCTGGAGTCCAGACCCACCACCAGACGCAGCATGTCTACTTTGGACACCAACAGTCTGCCGGTAAGTTGTGTCACGCATTATATCACCTGTTGTTATTACATAATGTTTATCCTGTATGTGTGTCTCTTTCTGTTATTACATATATAGCATAATATTACTCATCTACCCTTATGACACATTTTTAATAGAAAATAATGACTTCCTTTCTCTTTTCTATTTGTACCTGCCTACAACTTTTTTTCCGAAGCTCCCTTCTTTGTTTTGTTTTATTTTTCCTAGTTACTTACTGTCCTTGACCTTTTTTTCCTCTTTTTCTTTACCCTTGATTTTCCCCTCCTTGTCACTGTCTTTATTCCTTCCTTCTTCTGTTTCCCTGTTTTCCTTATCTCCACTAGCCTCAGTTGCTTGAGAGGTTGTTGGAGGAGATTCAGAATCTGAAGGCCACAGTTTTGTCTCAGGAGAAGAGAATCTGTGACTTGGAGAATAAGCTTTCCCAGTACACTAATGGCACTGACTGATGAAAACACCTTCTGAAGAACTGGTCTGACTTTCAGAATCACTATTATTATAGGAACACATTTCCCTCACATTCACGAGGAACCCCTCTCCTAAATACTCCAACGGTGTGGCCCTTTTAAAGGTACTATTGTGTGTATTGTGTAAGAACATGAATTTTGACAATAAAAATGCAAATTGACGATCAAACACATTTGAACAAATTACATCCATAAGTAGGGTCATTATTGCCTGGTTGATTCTACATAATGGACCTTAATGCTATGACAAAAATATTTTAATATATTCACACCTTTAGTGATTTGAAATGAGAAGAGTGAAAGTGGAGTGAGGGGGCTGTCGGTTAGAGGGACGTGCAAGTTGCGTTAAAGGTCTGAATAAAGTCAACACTGTTATCACTAAAATGACCATGTGAGAAAAAAGTATAGGAAAAGTGGCAAAAATAAAATCCCAGAAAAAGAGTTAATGCTTTGGTTTTAGTAAATTGCATCTATTACCTCCCCAAACATAGTAACATACTGCACCACCACTAAGCACACACACATCACCATAAAAGATACAAACAAAGCACATATCAAATGTATCAAACACATCGTCCTCCGTATCAGACGATCACTGACCAGTTTATTGAAACACGTCTCTTTGAAAACTTTTCAAAAATGTAAATAGTGATAAAGGAAACAGGAGAAAAATTTGTTGAACTTGTAGCAAAATGTGAAAAGCAAAACGTTTTGTGTTCTGTAAAGGGTTATACATTAGACACATTATGACGACAATAAAAACAGTGTTTTTTTTTAAATGGCTGCTTCTTCTGTCTGGTGTTGCAACATTTCAAGGTTTATATATTATTATAGGTTCCTGATGATCAATGAAACCTCTGAGCAGTTTATTTTGGGGGGGCTTTTTCTCTTTACTAGACAGGACAGCTGAGGGTAGACAGGAAAGGGGATAGAGAGAGAGGGGATGACACACAGCAAAGGGCCACAGGTCGGATTCAAACCCATGGCTGCTGCAGCAAGGACTCAGCCGTTTAAACATGGGGGCGCCAGTTCTACCAGGTGAGCTATCTGGGCACCCCTTCTCTGTTCAATTTTAGGATTTAGGCTTGCTCACAAACATTTACTGATCAGAAGACAGAGCACCAAAGGCCTCAGACTCTCTCTTTCAGAGGACACAATACCTTTATAACAGCGGTATAAGACTAATAGTAGCTAAGCAAACAGTATGCACATAGCCAGAAAATCAGTTTGAGTTGTAAAGATGAAATCAAACACAACTTTGACATGGAGTCACTGGATGTCTAGTTCTGTCAGTATACAGAGCCCTAACACCATGATGCTTAGGCAGAGAATGGGCGACTGCGTGACTTTGGTGGAGAAAGAGAGAGCAGCTGTTGAACCTTCCTGGTCAGTCACCTACGAAGAGAAGAAAAAGTGCATGAAGTCAACTAGTTTAGTGTCAAAGAGTTAACCAATAAATGTGAAAGTAAAGGAATAGACAGTGAAAGAGAGCTTCATTTTATGAGTCTGTAATTTTAGTCAATAGTTTTCTGAAAAGAATTAAGTGATTTGTTACTAATTACTAATTACAGGGAAAATAATGATGCTATCCAATTGGTACACATTCAAATAACTGTTAGCATGACCAAATTATGAATTAAATAGCTTTTTCCATGAAACCTCCTAGGAAATTGCAGACCTGTAAAACAAGTAAGAATTTTATCAAGAAATGTGATTCTTGGGAGTATTACCGGGTTAAGGACTGAGAAACGCAGCACAACATAGTTTGTATCTCCGCCATCCGGAGCCTCAGCCTCAATGGTCAGGGTGATGTCAGTACCCGATGGGGTGCTAATAGGTGCCGAGAGGGTCACTGTACCATTAGTACTGTTTCTAGCTTCCAGGAATAAACTGGTTGGATATGTTGAGTCAAAACGTCGATTGTTGGTGGCTCGGATGGTGTAGTTTCCCTCCATTCCATAGGTCATCACAGAGAAGGGCACAGAAAATGGCGTTCCTGGTACCAAGATGCTATTTGAATCCGCCTTAATACAGAGGGAATCAGACAAGAGTGTTTGTAGAGATTAAGCTTTTTTACACTCAGTTATAAAGTGAACATTTAAACCTTTAATTGCTGCATATCCTCATGATGATGGGATGTTCCTGTGACACAGTGAGGGTCTAGGATGAGTACTCACACTAATAGTCAGATTGGAGGATCTGAAGTTGGTGGATGACTGCCTTTGGAAGACGACTGAAGCTCTGGAGGTAACACTGTCATCCTGCCCCTTCATCCGTACCCCAAACTCCCCTGCTGGCATCCTGTCAACCTGAACTAAGAAGTTCCCGCTCTCCTGTGGTACCACAACTCCTTTAATCTCCTCTGACCCTGACGATTGAACCAGAGTGACTTCTGTCACGGTGGCGGAGTCACTCCCCGTTACAGACACCAACAAGCTACCATTGACACCTTTAAAGAAGGAGAAAATTCACTATGATTGATGATGAAATGTTACATCTGCACATCCTCACATTCACATTGTAACAGTATTCATTACCAGCTCTGGGACGTGTTTCAAGAGCATCAAATCCCTGGAACAGGCCCTGCGATGCCTCCACAAAGTCAAACAGGAAGTCAATAGGACTCTGACCTGAAAATTAGAGTCATGAGGAAAAACTGTGAAAAATGGCTATAAGAACATCCCATACATTGTTCGCAAAGCCTTGTGGGAGTTAAATCTATCTTTGTTGAAATGGGTTTAAACAGTACCAGCCATTGAGCCTTTAGACTATAGTCGGCACACCCAAGAATCATACTTTAGCTTTCAGAAAGAATGAAGGCACACGATTAAGAGACGACAGCTGTTTAGATAAAGGATCAAAGAGTCAGGCATACTACCCTAACACATTCAACTAAACAACCCCTCTGCCCCTGCACTCTCTCTGCTACTAAGGGATGATGAGGGGGGATGGCAGGTTAAGAAGGATGAGGCCTTTTGGTCATTTTGCTGACAACAAACTACAGCTGAGGCTGATGCAAATGTTAGTTTGTAAGTATTTAGTCATAAAATAAAGTGTTGTACAACTTTACTAGATGATGGAACATTTCCTGGATAGATTAGAATTTGGTCAAATTCATGTAATGACATTAGTATTATTTCTATGGGCTGATATTTGTGCCAGTAGAAACTGAATTTGAATCATTTAGAACTGAATCTGAATTGCTCTTTAAAAATCAAGTGTTTTTATGGACTGTTCACTTTCAGTTTCTCTAAAATATCAAAATCTCATTCTCTAAATTCAATGTTTCAATTCCACAAGATATCACTTTATAAGTCAGACGGGGTCAAAACCTTTAAGGAAGAGCAATCGAGCGCAGAGAGAAGCATAGCATTCTTTCCAACAGGCCACATGATTTTGGGACGACTTCACTGCGATAAAGAAGCCCAGTTCCATGCAGAAATAATGCAAAATTAGTTTTCCCACCGTGGCACCTTTTCACCTCATTAAACATTTTTAATGTATTTTTGGCTAGCGAGAAAACATGACTTAAAACAAAATGTACTAACCGGAAAAAATTAACACCACCCCTAATAAGTTTTTCTATCTCGGGCTCAAATTGACAGTGCAGTAGATTAAGAAGTCACTGTAGCTGATTGACAGGTCAGCACAGGACGTTGTCAATCACAAGGGTAGCCCCGCCCCTAAAAGATATTTCCTGCTGTTATTGTCTATCTTCCTCTAAATAGGATCAGAAGTTACCTTTAGATATGCGGTGTTTGAAAAGAACTTGAAAACTGACGATTAAGATTAAAAACTCATAAGAAGAAATTGTTTAATGAGGATAACAGTCAGGTGGTAAACTTAACCATTATTTGCATGTATTTCTGGATGGACTGGTCTTCCGTTTTTATCCAGTGAAGTCGCCCTCGCTGGCTGATTGGAAAGAATGGCAGGCTTACTCTGCACTCACTTGACTTCATTCCTTAGAGGATTGACCCGTCTGTGAACTTAAAAAGTGAATCTTGTGGATTGAAATTGAATTTTAGAGAACTGAATTTGAATTGGAAGAGAACTGAAAGTAAAATACATTAAAAAGTTGAATTTTTAGTGAGGCTCAAATACAGTTTTCAGGTTGCAAAGTGAATCTCAGATTCATCAAACTATGTAATTCAGTGGTCAAGGTTTATTTGGAATTAAGTTTCAAAACTAATAAATTCAAATTCAGGATTCAGTTTGTTTAATGCAATTCATTCCGCAAGTTG